GGAGGGCAGCGTAAAAATAGAGGTGAGGAAAAGGGAATCTGCTGAGCAATGGGACGGCGGGAGCTTGGGGACTTCGGGCAGGGCAGCCCCTTCCCAGCAGGTGGGCAGGAGAGGATGGAAAACCCCGGGGGACGCCGGGCGGCGACTTTCCATGCCCTGGCTGGCATTAATCCCGCTAACGAGCCGGGTCTTTCCGCAAAGCGGGATCAGCTCTGCTCTGGCTCAGAGCAACAATCCTGTTAAAGGGTGGGTGGCCGCGACAGAAGCGGCCAATTAATCCGTGGATGGCCAGGCGGCAGCCCAGGGCTCCCCGGGGCTCCCGCAGCCCCCAGGATGCTTTCCAGGATGTCTCCGGGACATCCGTGGTGGAGCAGGCTCGGGCTGTCCCAGCCGGGCACAGGACAGCCCGTAATGAGCTAATCAAGCCCTAACGAAGGGCTGGAGCTTTACCCCCCCAGCCCGTGCCCTCACCCAGGCAGGACCCCCCAGTCGCTGCTGGGGGGGCTGCGGGGGACTCAGCCCACCCCGGCCCGCCCGGAAAGGCCCAGCCCGGTGCTCCAGCAGCTCCTGAGAAAGCCCAGAGGAGCCTGGGGAGGAAACATAAATCACAGCTCCGAACAATATCCCATTGTGGGGCTCTGCCGCGAGCCCGGGCTGGAGCCCGTCCTGGGCAGGACCGGCACGGGCGGGATGGTCCGGGCCGGGTCAGCGGTGCGGGACCCCCCCAGCCCCATCCTGGCTCCGGCTGCAGCGCCAGCGCTGTGGGAATTATTGTTAAATTATTGTTTAAATGCAGATTCTGCTGCTCGGCCCTCCCCGAGACCCCCCCGGCGCTGGGCTGGGACTGGTGGCAGCGCTGCCTGGGGGCCACCGCTGTTCTCACCCTCCAGGTCAGGGCTCGGCTCCACGCCAGCCTTTTTTTTCCCTCCCGTTCCCGCTGATACGGAGCGGGGAGGGGAACCCGAACCTGCAGTGACAGCAGTGACAGCGCCGGGCCCCGCGGTGGGCAGGGGCTGGTGGCCAGTGGCCAGGTCCGACAGCCCCACCTTGGTGCCTATACATCCTAGTTTTGAAATTCAGGGCAACAAAAGCATTAATTTGGGCGGTGTTCAAGGAAAATTTGTATCTGTGGTAAGGTATCCATGATCTGTGTACCCAGGGTCTCCCAAGCAGCATTTGGGATACATGGGATGTACCTGGAGCCGCCTTTGCTGGTGAAAACAGAGGTGCCTTCAGGTCTCCCTCACCATAACTGACCCCAAAAGTCAGTTATAACCCAAAGCAAAGCCCTGTTTGATGTTGGCACCCACTCGCCCCAGCCAGGGCTGGCTGAACCCTGATTGTGGCAATGCCAGCAACACCCAGGTGGGTCACCCAGGAGCAGCGAGAGCTGCTGTCCTGCGGATTTAGCTCCTCTTTCACTCCCTGCAGTTATCCTTTGCCTGTGAAATATTAATGGCTCGTGATTCATCCCCAGCACGAAGGAGCTGACGGACACGTGTGCGTGTGCCTGTGCCTCTGCCGTGCACACACATGCAGATAGATATGCAGATGTGGATTCAAAGGCTCCTCCGATCCTCCAAAGCCACTATTAAAGGCTGTTTTGGGGATATGTTGCACGTTCCTCGCCGTCCCGGTGCTGGAATCTCATTAGCCACGAGCCAGGAGCGAGCTCAGCGTCGCCGTGCTGGGCTCGGCGGGGGCTCAGCCTCGCAATCAGCAGCTCTGTCCCTGCGGTGCTGGAGCCACCAGGCTGCCCAGTGACACACCAGTGCCAACCAGTTACGCTCCAGACCGGTGGCAGCCCTCCAGATCCGCACCGGGGGAACCCCCTGCGAACAAACTGCGAGGGTGGAAGCGCCGGTGGCTCCCCGGTGGCTCCAGGGAGGTGCCCGCCGTGGAGAGGGCATCGACTGGTGGCTCTTCATGCCCAAATCCCGTTTCTCCCTCCTCTTGGAGATCCATCCCAGCAGTCCCTTTCCATCCTTGCCAGGAAAATCCCCCCAGATGGCTCCTGCCCCGCTCCCCGCCCGGGCTGTTCCTGGTTTAATTGGTTCCCAGCTCCTGCAGGCTTTGAAAGATGAAAAGCCCTCGACGGGAGAAGTGTGGAGCGTTCATGGTTTATTAATGGGGAGCCATCATTATTTTACCTTTCAAGTGCTCGGGCAACAGCGAGGAGGGAAGGAGAGGGGGGAAAGCACCGCGAACCCTCCGCGGTTCCCTCCCCCGTCTCCAGCAGCCCCACCAGCCACCGCCGCCGCTTTCCGAGGGGCCGTCCCGCAGATTTATGGTGGCATTCCCAGTAAAACAGCATGGGAGAAGCAAACAAACAAAGCAGCAGATGCCAAGAGCCTCCAGCGTCATCTCTGGGCTCAGCCATCCCCGGGGGGGGCCCGGCTGGGGAGGAGCATCCCCCCGCCCGGCGCCCACCCAGCCCCGCTGCCGAGCGGAGCCGTGCGGAGAGTCAGCTGCTGCCGGCCCAGCCTTTGCCCAAATCCCGTATTTTCGGCTGCTGCGTCTCCCTGCGGCTCCCATCCAAATGTTCCCCGTGAATTATAAGCCTCGACGGGATGGGCTGAGAGCGGGACAGAGGGAAGGGGGGCTGGGCAGCGCCGTGTGTCCCTCTGAGCATCGCGGGGTCAGAGGTGCTCCCGAGGGTGCTGGAGTGGCCCAGACCCACCATGGGCAAATATTCCCAGGATGGGATGAGGAGAGAGCAGGGAGGCTCTCCCAGACCCCACCATGGACAAATATTCCTGGATTATGATGAAGAGAGGGCAGGGAGGGTCTGGAATGGCCCAGCCCCCAGCATGGACAAATATTCCCAGGATGTGACAAGGAGAAGGCAGGAAGGGTCTGCTGGAGTGGCCCACATCCACGATGGATAATATTCCCAGGATACAATGAGGAGAGGGCAGGGAGTGTCTGATGGAGTGGCCCAGACCCCAGCATGGATAAATATTCCTGGGATATGACACGGACAGAGCAAAAAGGCTCTCTCAGACCCCTCCATGGACAAATATTCCTGGATTATGATGAGGAGAGGGCAGGTACGGACTGCTGGAGTGGCCCAGATCCACCATGGACAAATATTCCTGGGATGTGATGAGGAGAGGGCAGGGAAGGTCTGCTGGAGTGGCCCAGATCCCAGCATGGACAACTATTCCCAGGATGTGATGAGGAGAGGGCAGAGAGTGTCTGATGGAGTGGCCCAGACCCCAGCATGGATAAATATTCCCAGGATGTGACAAGGAGAAGGCAGGAAGGGTCTGATGGAATGGCCCACACCCCAGCATGGATAAATATTCCCAGGATGTGACAAGGAGAAGGCAGGAAGGGTCTGGAGTGGCCCAGATCCCAGCATGGACAAATATTCCTGGATTATGATGAGGAGAGGGCAGGGAGGGTCTGGAATGGCCCAGCCCCCAGCATGGCCAAATATTCCCAGGATGTGACAAGGAGAAGGCAGGAAGGGTCTCCCAGCCCCCACCATGGACAAATATTCCTGGGATGTGATGAGGAGAGGGCAGGGAAGGTCTGCTGGAGTGGCCCAGATCCCAGCATGGACAACTATTCCCAGGATGTGATGAGGAGAGGGCAGAGAGTGTCTGATGGAGTGGCCCAGACCCCAGCATGGATAAATATTCCCAGGATGTGACAAGGAGAAGGCAGGAAGGGTCTCCCAGCCCCCACCATGGACAAATATTCCTGGGATGTGACAGGGAGAGGGCAGGGAGGGAGCAGCACGGGGTGGGGAGGGGGGGGTGGGAAGAACAACGTTTTTTCCGAGGCGTTTTGTTTGGTCGGTTGTTGTTTGTTTTTTTTTTTATTTTATTTTTTTTTCTCCTTTTTTTTTTTTATTGGCATAAATAATTCATACACTGTCACCTCACCAAACACTGCACGAGAAACCACGGGAACAAACGGCGATCCAGGTCTGCAGGTCACAGAGATTCGCACCCAGTCGGACAGCGGAAATTATAAATAACTTTTCTGCGAGTGTAGAAAACGTTAGAAATCGTCACTGTACAAATTTACATCGGGGGGACATCCATCGTGCCTTTCTCAGCGCTGCTCTTCTGTCGTTTTTTGTTTGGGTTTTTTTGGAGGGGTTGATTTGTAAGGTTTGGGGTTTGTTTTTTTTTTCACTGTTTGTCGTTGGGTTTTTGGTTTTGTTTTTGTTTTGTTTTGTCTCGTTTTTGTTTTTTTTTTTTCCAGTTCTGCAACGACGACGACAAAATATATATATATGTATATATATATATTTTTCTGTATATATTTATAAAAAAAAGAAAAAAGGGGGAAGAGGCACCAAAAAGAAAAAAAAAAAAAAAGGGAGATGAAAGTCAGCTCATTCTGCAACGGTGAAAACACGGAGAAAACAAAGCAGGCCATCAAGTTCAGTTGGAAACTGTACAGGATTTAGAGCTCGTTATATATGTATATATCTATATACATACATATAGAGATATGTATATATATTTATATATACCTTATGTACAAGGAAATGTAACTTTTTTTTTTCCTCTGACAAGGAAGGGAAACTTTACAGGGGCTGGAAATGAAAGGCGGCTCTTGCAGCTTCCCCAGGAATCGCTGTTGGCAACCAAAAAAAAATAAAAATTAAAAAAAAAAATAGAAAAAAATAGAGATATAAATACAAATAAATTAAAATAAATAAACGGGGAGAAAGAAAGGAGGAAGGAAAAGCCAAGGTGCCCGGCAGAGCACCGGCCACTGGTGGCACTTGGGGGGGAAAAACAACGTCTGAGGGCCCCCCCAGCACAGAGCCCTTCTCCTCAGCGTGGCCAAAGGGACGGGGCGTAGGCACCAGCTCGCCCAGAGCGTCCTGAACTGGCAGAGGGGGGGTTTAGGTGGGATACTGGGAGGGAATCCTTCCTTGGGAGGGTGGGGAGGCCCTGGCCCAGGTTGCCCAGAGAAGCTGTGGCTGCCCCTGGATCCCTGGAAGTGTCCAAGGCCAGGTTGGATAAACTTGGAGCAACCTGGGCTGGTGGGAGGTGTCCCTGCCCATGGCAGGGGGTTGGGATGAGGTCACCTTTAAGGTCCCTTCCAACCCAAACTGTTCCATGGTTCTGTGATCTAACAAAGGTTGAGCAGCTCCTCCACCTCCAAGACATCCAGTCCTGCCTCCCCTCCCTCCGAAACCTCAGTCATCTCCTGCCATGGCCAAGGACCGGATGGAAGTCACAGGGGGTGGACTCTGAGCTCATCATACCCAGGAACTGCCCGGTCAGGGCTCAGCGAGGTTTGGGGCCATTTGTGGGCAAAGGTGGAGAGGAGGAGAAGCCGGAGCAGGAGATCCCACCTGGCAGCCAGAGGAGGCCGTGGTGCTCCTGGGCCCCGCAGCACCACCCCTCCCATGGCTGGCAGTGCCTGCACCACCCACCCCCAAACGTGGTGCTCCCCATGGGCACTGGAACGCCGGGAAAAACCCCCAGGCAGCAGCACAGTCAAGGATTGGGATCTCTGGGAGCCTCGGAGGGCGACTGAAAGGATGAAGCAGCTGAGAGCTGGAGGGCTGGGCCAGGAGAACATCTCTGCTGCAAGGGCCTGGGGACAGACCCCGAGGATGGGGATGGTTCTGGGGTCTCAAACTGCTGCTCACACCAGCTCTGATGGTTCTGGGGTCTCAAACTGCTGCTCAAACCAGCTCTGATGGTTCTGATGTCTCAAACTGCTGCTCAGACCAGCTCTGATGGTTCTGGGGTCTCAAACTGCTGCCCAAACCAGCTCTGATGGTTCTGATGTCTCAAACTGCTGCCCAAACCAGCTCTGATGGTTCTGATGTCTCAAACTGCTGCCCAAACCAGCTCTGATGGTTCTGATGTCTCAAACTGCTGCCCAAACCAGCTCTGCTTTCACTTGGCACTTCTAGAAACAGCCCTGTCTCTCCTCTAGCTCACACAGCTAGACCAAGCCACCGCATGGACCTTCTCCCTCCTTAGGATCTCCTGTTAGAGGGTTTTTTGGAGACCTTCTCCTACATTCTCTCCCTGCTGAAGGGCTGGATATTTTTAAACTGGGAGATAAAAAAAAAAACAAAAAACCAAACCACCCTCACAAAGCCAGAGTCAAAAAAACCCAAAGAACAACAACAACAAAGGCAACCAAAAAGTAAGATTTGTTGGTTTGGTGGTTTGTGGTTGGGTTTTTTTTTTAATAATTAAGACTTTCAAAAATAAGAAGGCAGGATGCAAATAACACTGCTGCCTGAACCACCACTGCTGAACAGAGTGGAAGGGAAGGAGCTGCTTCTCTGAGCTGATTTATGATAAATACAGGGCAGCTGTTGTGCCATCCACGCTGTTGTGTGACAGCTCTGCTCGTGGCCTGGCTGAGACGCCCCAGTGAGGGAAGAGGGGGACAAAGAGGGTGGGAAGAGGGAAGATTTGGTGATATTTGTTGGCTAGAAGGAACACTTAGCTCCTTTCAGATGCCCAAAATCCAGTGGGGAAAAAGCACGGACGAGGGGGGATGAGACAGGACAAGGGGAATGGGTTTAAACCAAAAGAGAGCAGGTCGGGGAGAGATAATTTACTGTGGGGGTGGGGAGGCCCTGGCACAGGTTGCCCAGAGAATGTGGATGCCACTTTGCTGGGAGTGTTCCAGGCCAGGTTGGACGGGGCTTGGAGCAACCTGGGCTAGTGGGAGGTGTCCCTGCCCATGGCAGGGGGTGGGATGGGATGAGATTTAAGGTCCCTTCCCACCCAAACCATTCCATGGTTGTGTGGCCGAGGCAGCAGCAGAGCCCTGTGAGGACCTGACACCAAACCAACCAAACCAACAGACTGCTCAGTTCCCTTGTTTCCTTGACTCTTGGCCCATAAAATCCATCAGGTGCCCATCAGCAGCTGGGAGAGCCCACAGGGGGACGTGCCAAGGTGAGACTTTCCAGGCCAGGTGAGGACTTGGGGCGCAGGGAGCAAACCCACAGCAAGCCCTTCGGGATGGACACTGTCCCTTCCACCAGAAACCTGCACATCCATCAGGCCACAGCACTTTGCCACCCCTGGGGACGAGCAGCACCCGTGGCATCACCTCCTTCATCCTTCCAACACCTTCCTCTCACCAAGAAAGGTGAGTTTTTCCTGCTCAGAAACTAAGCCCACGGAGCCACAAGGACACCGACCTTTCTCCAGCGACCCCTCCCCACCTGACCGTGCTTTGGGGCCGGGTGATTTCGTGGTGAGACCTCCCCGTGCCCCCCTGGCAGCCAAAACCTGCGGCAAGGGGGGTGTTCTCCCTGCCCCAGAGCTCAGGAGCATCCTGGGTGAAGGCATTGGTGAAACCTCAGAGAGACTCTGAGGCTTTAGTGCAACGTTTATGGCACGAGCACGGGCACGGGGGAGGCAGCAGGAGGGCTTGGGATGGGCAGGATGGGTGACAGAGGACCTTGGTGCTCTGCTCTGGGGCGGGATGAAGATGGGGGGGGGGTGTTAGCAAGGGAAAAAGCGGGATGTGGAGGAGGCAGAGGGTGAACAGCCACGGAGCATCTTCCTGCATCGATGGTACGAGGGGATGCTCCTCACTCAGGGACCCCAAACCGCCTGTGCTGCTGGGGCAGGGGGCAATCAGCCCAAAACAGGGGCTCATCCCGCCCTCCCTTGCTCAGCCCACTTGGCCTCAGCACCAAAGGCAGAAGGAGGCGATCCTGCCTCATCCCAGCTCCGGTGTGACTGCACATGTCCCAAAAGCATCAGCAGGAGACTCCTCCAGCCCCACCCTGTGCCCCATCTGGGGCTGGATTCACCCCCACCCCGCTCCTGCCCACCTCAGATTTCACACATCAGCACGTGTGGGAATTTTAAGACATCAAAGCACCTTCGTGCACGCCCCCACGATTAAAGTGCCGTCTCATCCCGGCTCCAATTAGGTTTCTAATCTCCTTTTACTTATGCTGAAGTGGTTCAGACACCGGCGAGGAAGAGCTGGAGGAGAGCAGCAAGCAAACCAAGGCTGGTTAGTTTGCACAGCCTCGTCGTGTCTCCAAATTAAAGCTAAACTGAGGCTCCAACTGAATTATCCAGGATGGTTCCTGTCAAGCAATTATGCTCAATGAGGGCCTGGAAATGCAATTTGCCATCATCTGTCGCTCGGCAGCTCAGCTGACGGGCTGGAGGGGCCACCTGAGCTGGTGGGAGAGGGAAATGCCAGCACACGGCGTTCCGATGGCAACCCCAGCTCCGAGCTGCTGCCTGAGGAGTGTTTCTTTGGGAAGGGCTGGGATTTGGCAGGTGGAAGATGAGCGTGCAGGGGGAAATGGGTCGTTCAGCCGGGATCGTCCCACGTGCGGGGCTGGGAGGGGAAAGGCTCTGTACAACCAGAGCCTGTTGGCATTCCCAGCTCCAGCAGCGAAGGGAAGGCCACGGAAGAGGGGAATGAGCCCGAGCCCGGCTCCGCTCAGCCCCCTCAGCACCCCCAAAGCCGGAATTTGGGGAGGGAGAAGGCAAGAGCGGAGCAGGGGCGGGGAGGGCGAGAGGTCAAGGCCGGCTGATGAGCCACACTTCGGGAATGCGGGGATGTGTCCCGCTGGGAGGGAGACCCGCGGGGGGAATCGTAAGTGGACACGGCTGGGAGGTAGAGAAGCCACTTGTGAAAGGTCACGGCCGCCCACGAGGGGCCGTGGGGGGAGCGGGGCTCCTCCAGATGCATTTCCCCGCGGGGGGTGCAGCTAAAAGCAGCGGCACTCCCCGGCCCCGGCAGGCTCCGGTGCTGAACTCGGGAATCAGCAACATTCCCCCTTTTTTTCGTTAAAAAAAAAAAAATAAAAATAAAGGCAATAAATAAGGGAAATTAAATAAACCCACGGAGAACCGAGAACACAAGCCCTCCCCCAGCCGAGCGTCGTGAGCGCTGGGTGGGGTCAGAGGAGCCCAAAATTGAAGTCGTTTGCCTCGTGGGTCACCCCTGCTCGGTGGGGAACCGACCCCAGGGCCGACCCCGTGTGCGCGGAGAGCCCATCCCACCACAGCCGGGCATTCCCGGGGCTCGGCCGCCGCTCCGGCTCCTTCAGCCCTCGCAGAGGCTTCCCGGGGCGAAACGTGCGGGGCAAGAGTCTCATTCCCGTCTCATTCCCGTCTCATTCCCGTCCCGCCGTCGGCCCCCGGCGCCCGCTGCTCCTCCGCAGCACGGGGTGGGAAGCGGAGAGGAAGAGGAGAAGTGCTGGGGGAGGAAGGCACCGTCCCTCGGCTCCTCCCGTCACAGCCTGCGAGGGACACAACGAGCGGAGTCAGCACTTGGGGCTGGCTTTGGCACCGCGGGGTTTGTGGGGCGGCTCACGGCAAAAAAACCTCCTCAATCAGGTTTGGGTGGAGCTGCCCCCTCCCAAAAAGTGGCACAGCCTGAAGCTGCACCAGGGGAGGTTCAGGTTGGACATTGGGAAGTTCTTCCCAGAGAGAGTGATCGGACACTGGAAGGGGCTGCCCAGGAGGGGGTGGAATCCCCGTCCCCGGGGGTGTTTAGGGACACTCTGGATGTGGCATCAGTGCCATGGGCTGGGTGACACGGCAGGGTTGGGTCACAGGTTGGACTCGATGATCTCAGAGGGCTTTTCCAGCCTCGTTGATCCTCGGATTCTGTGAACTTCTGCCCTGTGCCAGCCCAGGTTGGGCTCTCCTGGTGCATCATCTCCAGGGGGTTTGCTGGGTTCCACACACCTCACCCCCATCCCTGTGCGTCCAGGACCCCCGAGGGGGTTTTGTCCCCCATTCCCTTGGTGCAGGGGTGGCAGAGCCCTGGGTACCACACCCAGCTCGGGTGAGCAGGGACCCCACAGGGAAGCCAAGACCAGGATCAACAGCCAGAGCTGAGTCCCTGTGGAAGGAATCAGCTCGGATGGAAAACGAGCGCTGAGCTGAGACATCCTCCCTCCACTTGTGCTTAGCAAAACAGGGGGCTGGTCATTAGGAGGGGGCTGGTCATTAAGAGGGAGCTGCAGGGCAGCCACAGCCCATGGCAGGTGATGGCAAAAACCTTCCCCAACCCAACGGAGCAATTCCACAACCTGCTGCTTTGGGGGCCATCAACCCTCAGCTTCCCTTGCCCGGCTGCCAGGGCCACCCCGGTGCCTGCTCCCAGCATGGATTGGTAATTAACTCCCCCCCGATTAATGACTTATGTTCAAGGTGATCTAGGGGCCATCTGACCGAGGGCTTTGTGCTGCTCAGCCCCGTGTGGGGACAGGAGGTGGCACAGGGGACACTCCAGTGTGCCCGTAACCTTGGGGCTGCACAGATAAGGCAGCCAGGAAGGTTCTTATCAGATGTAGCAGGAGAAATGAGCATCTCCAACCTTCAGGGAGGAGCAAGAGGGATGCTTGGAGCATCCTCTCCCACAGCTCACATCCTTCTCCCTCCCTCCATCCCCATTTCCAGCCTCCACAGGCCGGGAGAAAGGAAAAACACCCCCCCTGAATGCAAGCCCTGCGTGGGTGAGACTTTTGGTTCTGTTTGTCACAATATGACAAATTCAAGGGAAGAAAATGAGTTTCTAAGTGATTGTTCCGCCTTTTTCCTGCTGTTTCCAACAGGGCAGATCCCGAATCCCTGGCTGGGGACTCATTTCTGGCGTTCCCTGAAGCGGAGGGATGTGACTAAGCCGGAGCGGTGGAACAGAGCAGGATTTGGCCATGGGAGAAGAAGAGACCTGGAAGCTGCAGGTCTGAGGAGGGACCCCTGGGCAGGGCATCCCCCCCAACAGTAAAATCTGGGAATAGGGAAGGCCGGGCAGGGGCAGGGACTTACTCTGCCGACTTCCAGAAGTGCCCGGGGTGGGAGAGGCGGCGGTTGCGCTTTGGCAGTTTCTCCAGCATGTCCATGAGCTTGGTGAAGGTGGGTCTCTCCTCCTGCTCGTAGGCCCAGCAGAAGAGGAGGATGTCCTGCAGCCACACAGGGTGGGGGGGTGAGCAAACCCAGCCAGTCCCTCGCCCACCATGACCCCTGTGCCTAACATCCACACCACAGGGACCCCACCTCCGTCACCACGTCCTCGGGAAGGGCTGGGATGGAGGGGATGTGCCCATCCCACGAGGACTCATCTCCATCATCACATCCTTGGGAAGGGCTGGGACAGGGAGAATGTGCCCATCCCATGAGGACCCATCTCCATCACCACATCCTTTGGAAGATTTGGGATGGAGGGGATGTGCCCATCCCATGGGGACCCATTTCCATCTTGTGAAGGGATGGGATAGAGGGGATGTGTCCATCCCACAAGAATCCATCTCCATCACCACATCCTTGAGAAGGGCTGGGATGGAGAGGATGTGCTCATCCCACAAGAACCCATCTCCATCACTACATCTCTGTGAAGATTTGGGATGGAGGGAATGTGCCCATTCCACAAGAATCCATCTCCATCATCACATCCTTGTAAAGATCTGGGGTAAGGGGGGATGTGCCCATCCCATGAGGACACCATTTCCATCTTGTGAAGGGATGGGATGGAGGGGATGTGCCCATCCCACAAGAATCCATCTCCATCACCACATCCTTGTGAAGATTTGGGATGGAGAGCAATGTGCCCATCCCATGAGGATCTGTCCCCATCACCACATCTTTGTGAAGGGCTGGGATGGAGAGGATGTGCCCATCTCACAAAAACCCATCTCCATCACCACATCCTTGGGAAGATTTGGGATGGAGGGGATGTGCCCATCCCACGAGGACCTTTCTCCATCACCACATCCATGTGCAGATTCCCAGGACCCACCAGCCAGGACATGCACCGGTCCCTCCCCACACACCCCCACGGAGCTGCAGCGCCTCCCCCCCCACACCTACCGAGATCTCCTTGCCCATCCCGATCTGGCTGAGGTTGGGCTTCATCCCTCTTCCCACCTGCCAGATGATCGCCTCCGCCGGCTGCGTCTTGAAGGGCCACTCCCGCGCGTGCAGCTCGTACCAGATGGTGCTGCGGGGACACAACGGGAATTAGAGGGAGATGGAGGAGCTGGGAGGCGTTTCGGGGTGCGGGGATGTCTGCCCGTTGCACCCACCCCCACCATCTCTCCCCGCTCCAAAATCCCTGACATCCAGGAGACGCTTCATCTTGGATATGACACCGGAGGGGCTCAGCCCTCGTTACGGAGGTCTCACCTCTCCTATTTTCCGGATGGAAAACGGAGGGGTTGACCCAGAGCAAGCCCTGATCCACACCAGGGATGATCCCAACCCGTGGGAAGGAGGATAGGGGAGGTCCATCCTCTGCCTGGAGGTCCAGGCAGAGCCTCCAGACATCCTGTTCCATCCAGTGGGAATCTCCCACCCTGCCGCAGTGACACTTTGCCCCTCTGCCCGTGGAGGTTCCCGCTGCTGGGCTGGTGTTCCCGACACCCCCTCCAGGGAAGGACGAGCCCAACCATCCACTTGCACTCCGGTTTTTCCCCTTTTTCTTCTTCCAAGCTGCAAAAACCCGTCCAAGCCGTGGCAAGAACCGTCCCAGGTGCCCTCACCGGGCGATGGCACAGGCGAACCCCCGGCCATCTGCCACTGCACCGAGCCCTCCCTTCCGCCAGGAATCCCAGATCCAAGGGAATATCCCAAACCAACGGTGTCTCTGGCTGAGCTGGCAGCCGCCCCCACGGCCCTCCGCCCCCGCTTCCCCCTGGGAGTTTTTTGCATCCTCGTTTTCTGGCATCCAGAGGCTGGATGAGCCCCGACTCCCGCGGTGCCGCCCCTCTTGTCCAAGGCAAATTCCATGGACCTGCTTTTCCCTTCCAGGGATGCCGTCACGACCAGTTAAAGCAGCAAGAAACAGGGTTAAAATGACATCAGGGTGGAAAAAATCTGGCAGAAGGGGTCTGATAAATGTAAGATCATTCCCGGACAGGGACGTTCCCTGATTTTGGAAATGGGCTCTTCTGATTTTGGAAAAATACGCCCAGTTTGGCTGTAAATCTCCAAAAAATTTTGAATAACGTGGCAGTAACATTGGTGCTGTGGGTGCAGAGGAGGTGGGGGCTGGGGAGGGGTGGATCCTGTGGGCAGGCTCAGGGATTCCGGAGGTGCCTCCGCGCACCTCCAGTCGGATTTAGCACATCCAACCCCTTCATTCAAGTTCCTAGCTGGGAGTTTGGGGATTATTTTTTCACCTTCCCGCTTCTGGATGCCTTCAAAATATTTGGGCTGCGTTTCCCCTGAGGTGCCCCAGGGAGCAGGATGCTGCTCCGTGTCTCTTTGCACGAGGAGACCACACGTCAAAATGTTAATTATCGATGGGATCTCTCGGGTTTTGGTGAGGACACACCACCAGCCTCAGCCCCCTGCTCTGCACCACCCTCACACGCTTTAATTTAACATCTCTGCCTTCTTTAAAAGCTCTTTTCCTCTTGCTGTCGCTGATCCCACAAATCCCTCGTGGGAAGCAAATAACCCTCCGGATCATCCGTGAGCCTCCAGGGCTTAACCGAGGGCAGCAGAAACAAGAAAGAGGGAAAACGGGGGAAAATCTTTTAATCTTTTAAGGAAACTTGTGCTTTACGCACAGGCAGAGCTCACACTCGAGGAGAAAAAGGGCAAAGCAAGGCTCAGCAACCCACTCTCACTCTGTTCCGTACGACCCCTTAATTCCTTCTTTATTTTCGTGCCGAGGTTGTGCCTCGGGGAGGGTAAAAAAAAAACCCCAAGCAGGTCCTTTTGGCTGTAATAACGCTGGGTTTGATGGAAATATCACCTCCTCTAAGGGGCCCACGCACCCTAATCCCCCCAGCCTTTAAGGTATCCATGAGAAAATTAATCCCCCGGGGAAAATCCGTGGGTTTGTCGGGGTGGGATTGGGCTCCTGCCCCGAGGGAGGTTTGTGGGCAGACAAAGGGCAGGAGTCGCTGAGGGAGGCTCAGGAATTCTCCTTTTCTTGGCTTTTTGGCAGCACAGGCACCACCAGCCCCTCCCTGCAGCTGGGTGAGGGGGAAAATCTGGGAGTCCAGGAGCTCCCAGGCTTGTGTTCTCCAGCTGTGGCATCCCCATCCCATATCCAGGCACCTTCTTGTGCCCCCAGGAGGATGCAGGGGAGAGATGATGCCAGGCTGGCAGCCCCAGGATACTTCGGATCCTGTTGTCCAGAGCCACCCTAATCCACAGGCAAATAAGGAGGATTTGGCATTTAGGGACTATTGGGGTGTCCAGGGATTCCCAGACCTGCATCCCCCATCCTCTGCATCCTAAGCTGACACCCAAGCACCTTTTGGTTGGTACCTGCCCCCAGGAGGATGCAGGGCACAGATGATGCCAGGCTGGCATTCCCAGAATCCTGTTGTCCAGAGCTACCCTGGTCCACAGCCAAAACAGGAGGATTGGTGATTTAGGGAGGATTGGGATCTCCAGGGGCTCCCAGCCCTGCAACCCCAATCCTCTGCATCCTCAGCTGACATCCAAGCACCTTTTGGCTGGTACCTGCCCCAGGAGGATGCAAGGGAGAGATGATGCCAGGTTGGCACTCCCAGGATGCTCCAAATCCTGTTGCCAGGAGCCACCCTGCTCCATAGCCAGATAAGGAGGATTTGGTGATTTAGGGAGAATCAGGGCATCCAGGGTCCCAGACTTGTGTCCCCAACCTTTGGCATCCCCAACTGACATCCAAGCACCTTTTGGTTGGTACCTGCCCCCAGGAGGATGCAGGGCACAGATGATGCCAGGCTGGCATTCCCAGAATCCTGTTGTCCAGAGCTACCCTGGTCCACAGCCAAAACAGGAGGATTGGTGATTTAGGGAGGATTGGGATGTCCAGGGGCTCCCAGCCCTGCAACCCCAATCCTCTGCATCCTCAGCTGACATCCAAGCACCTTTTGGCTGGTACCTGCCCCAGGAGGATGCAGGGGACAGATGATGCCAGGCTGGCACTCCCAGGATACTCTGGATCCCATTGTCCAAAGCCATCCATAGCCAAAACAGGAGGATTTGGTGATTTAGGGAGAATCAGGGCATCCAGTGGCTCCCAGACCCGTGTCCCCAACCCCTGCACCCCCTTCCTTCTGCATCCCAGCCAACATCCAAGCACTCTCTTGTTGGTACCCTCCCCAGGAGGAGGAGGATGCCAGGCTGGCATCCTCTGGATCCTCCAGATCCCGTTGCCCGAAGCCACCCTGGTCCATTACCAAAACAGGGTTATTTGGTGATTTAGGGAGAATCAGCACGTCTAGGAGCTCCCAGACCTGTGTCTTCCACCCCCTGCAGCCACATCCAACATCCAAGCACCTTTTGGCTGGTACCCTGGTACCTGCCCCAGGAGGATCCAGGGGACAGATGATGCCAGGCTGGCACTGCCAGGATACTCTGGATCCCATTGTCCAAAGCCACCCTGGCCCACAGCCAAACCAGGAGGCTCTGATGGTGGAGGGAGGGTTTCACTCCAAATATCTCAAAGCAGGAAGGTGCTCCCAGCCCAGCCTGGGGGGTTCCCACAGGCAGCGTCCCCTCGGCTCTGGGACAAGCAGGCGGTGTCCCCGTCCCCACCAGTTCTGTGCAGCCCTTTGGACCCCCATGCCACGGGACTCACCCCAGTGCAAAGACATCCGAGTGCTTGGAGAAGGGCAGCTTGTCCTCCTCGGTGTCCGGGGAGAGCTGGCGGATGATCTCGGGGGCGAGGTGGCACAACCAGCCGTTCTGGATGCGCAGCTTGTTCTCCCTCCTGCCGGAACACGGAGCCAGGGGTACCACGGGGGGCACGTCACCACTGCCAGGCAGCCCCCCCAGCCCTGCCACCCTCTGCCCACGGCGTTTAAGCCTGGTTTTCTCTTTGTCATCCTCGCAAAGTCAGGTTTTAACCTCGCTCTGAGGAACGTCGGCGTGACGGGTGTGCATTGATCCCTGCCAGGCTGCAGGGCAAAATCTGAGCACAGGATGGTGGGGAGGGGGAGCTGAGGGGGATGTAGGGTCTGACAGGGCTCTTGGTGTGGCTGTTGCACCAAAACACCCTCAAAGCCCCGGGGGCAAAGCACTGCTGGGGGGGAATTCCCCCAGTGCTGACACTGAGCTGACCCTGGAGGGTGTTGGACTGGGGACCACTAAACAAACCCATCCCAAACTGGGATGCTCCAGACCCTGCTCCCCAAAGCCACCCTTGTCCATTGCCACAACAGGAAGGTTTTCTGATTTCAGAACAGGACCTGTGTCCCCAGTTCTCCATGTCCCCATCCCACATCCCAACACTTCCTTGTTGGTACCACCCCAGGAGGATGCAGGGGGGAGATGATGCCAGGCTGGCACGCCCAGGATGCTCCAGATCCTGTTGCCTGGAGCCATCCTGATGCATTAACCAAAACAGGAGGATTTGGAGATTTAGGGAGAGTCTCACTCCAAATTTGAACCTCCCCTTGACTGGGGACCACGAGCAAACCCACCCTGAAATAATCGCCTGGAAATGGGTGTTTTCAGGTGTTTGGCCCCCAAACAGCCCCTCCAGCCCATCCTCATGTCCAACCCTCCAATGCCATCGCCCACAGGAGCAGCCTGGCTTTATTAACAGCCCCTCATTTAACCTCAGCTGTCCTTCCTCCACCTCCTCGAGCTCCCCCTGCTCGGTATAAACACTTTGGCCAACACCTGAGGATGATGTTGGTTGCTCCTTCATCCTTTACATCCTCCAGGATGCACCACTGGCTTGAAAATGGCCCCTGGGCAGGGAGAAAAGGCAGGAATCGCTGCTGGGGGTGACACATTAAGCAGCTTGACCGTGTGTCTGAGCCCAAACTCAGCAGCAAGAGGCAACAAAAACTGTCCCATGTCATGTTGGGATGGAGAAGGAAGAGCCTCTGTCAGGAATTTCTCCCCGTTTGTGCTTCGGAGCCCTCCTAAAACCAGGGATGCCCAGGGATAAGGATGGCTGGGGGGACATCTGTCCTCCTGAACGTCAGCCTGGGCCAAAATCCCAGAGCCCAGGGGCCCCCACCCAGGCACAGGCACCTCCATCCACCCTCAGAGCAGGACAAGCTCCCACCACAACTTCTCCCACGCGGCCGGATCCTCCTGTCTCCAAAGCCATCCCCATCCCGAGGCATCCCCTAGAAATCTGGCAGCCACCAGAGGAGGAACCCCCTCCTTAGGGAAGGACACTGATGGCCCAGGGAATCACTGATTAGGCCTCCTTGCCCCCTCCGGGGTCTGGAGGGCTCCTCTTCCCCCCGCTGTGACGGAGCCGCGGCCGCAATCAGCGGCTCCGGCGAGACGCGGCCCCTCCGGCCCCGGGAGCCGCCGGGAAAAGAGCACTTTGGCACAGAGGGGAGGCTTTCAGCTCCTCCCCCCACCATCCTCCAGCCCGCACAGCTCTTAATTACAAGCCAGCATTAAGCACCTGGGCAATTAGGGAGGATGCGGAGGAGCTCCCCCGTCCTTGCCGGTGGGTGCCATCCCCGCCCCGGGCGGGCAGCGGGGAGCAGGATGGAGTGGGCAGCACTTAGATCTGCTCCACCACCCCCCAGCGAGGCCGGCTTTGCTCCCGGAGCTTTTATTTGTGCTCATTTCAGCAGCTCGGGGTTGTGATATCCCGCGAGGGGCGTTCAGGCTCAGCCTTGGGATGCTCCAGGGACAGGGTTTGGATCCACCCATCGTCCCTTCCAGAGCTCTGAGCACTCAGCTGTGGGTTACGAGCTTCCAGCAACGGGGGCTGAGCTTTAATGTCATCCCAAGAGTGTTTTAATGGCAGGAACTTCAGGTTTTATAACAAAAGTTGCCCTGACTGCCCAACCCACACGGCCACTGCCACGGGCAGGAGAGAGCTCGACCTGCTGAGCTGCTTCTAAACCCACCCAGGACAAGTCCCCACCAAGGACAAGTCCCCCCCAAGGACAAGTCACCCCCAAGGTAAAGCAAGAGCTCCTCACACTCCTCCTAATTAGAGATCAGCCCTCCCGAGCCCAATAACATTTAAATAATGGAGAAATAAATCTGATTTCGCCAGGAGAAGCCACCAAATCACCAGGTCTCTGCAGAAAGTATTTTAAACCCTTTAAACCAGGCTGGTCTGGAGTTCATTCACAGCTGAAATGTCACCACCCTTAACCTGACCTGCAGAATTTCCTGCCTTCTCCACACGTGTTTGTCCAAGCCTCCAAGGACCCAAAACTGGGCTTCACCACTCTTCTTCTTCTGGAGGAACCAGAACCAGCAGAAAACCCACCCTGCAAAGCTGACCTGCAGACATTTGCTGCTTCAAAATCCGTGGTGTTTGAAGAGCCTTCTCTCAGCTCTCCCTCAGCAGAAAGCATGTTCCACCCACGGCCATGCTGGAAGCCCCTCAGGGCAGAGATTTTCTCATTCTCTCAATTTTTCTCTCCAGACACTGCTCATTTTCTGTCCAGCCTTGCTTTTCTGGCCATCCTCCCTGCCCTGGACTTTATCCCCTGGACTTTATCCCCTGGATTTTATCCCCTGGACTTCACCCCCCAGGTGACACCCCAGTCTTGAGCAGGGATGGCCACGCGTTGCCCACCTCGTCCTCTACCCCATTCCCCCAGCATCTCATCCCTCATTTCCTCTCCAGAGCATCTCTGACCTTCACAGCAAAGATTCCTGGCAAAACTGGGGACGTTTTTGCCCAAATCCTCTTCCCGCTGCCGGAATGAGCTGTGCCTCCATCCTGGCAGGACCTGAGCCCCAAACCCCCCGCCCAGCTGCTAAACCAGAGGCAAAACCCACTCTGGATGGGATTTCTCGGATTCCCAAAGCTTTTGGCTGAGCCTGTGCCAAAGCAGATGATATTTGTGCAGGCAGAAGGGGAAGCCTGGCTGCCCATCCACCACGAGCAACGGGGGATGGAGAGAAGCAGCCACCACCTTCTCCTCTAATCCTTGGACCTCATCATGTGGGAACTTGGGAAAACTATATCATTTCCACGGAGGAAACCTTCCTGTGCTGCTTCTGACACGAAGGGTTTGGTGAAAAAGGTGGGAAAAGTCAGCAATGCTCTTATTTTCCATTTTCTTTCCCCCCCACTTCTGTTTCCTTTCCCCCCTCCCAGCTTTGCTTTTCTTCCTTTCCCCAGCTGCTGAAACTCTTTTGCCCTGCCCTGCCTACAGCTGGAAAACCCCCCAGAGCGCTGGGAAAAGGAAGTTTCATAAGGAACATTTACCAACTGGTTTGGATTTAAACCCTCGGAGACCCCAAAAATGTCACAGTGCTGTAAATGTCCCCGGCTTGGCTCTGCTTTTCTCTGTGTCCTGCTCTGTGCTCGGTACAGACACCACAGCCAGATGTTTGTGACACCCAAAATGTCACCAGAGCAGTGAAGGGACAGCACAGGGATGGAACCAGTTCACCCAGTCAGGAGATGAAGCAGATTCCAGGAGTTTTTAGTGATATGTTAGGGAAAGGCCAAGGGATGAACCTGCCAGAGAGAAACACAGCCTGAGGAGCATCCCCAGGACGGCTGCAGGGTGGTTTGGCCATGGAAATGATGCATCCCATGGGAAGAGGTTGGGTCCAAGAGACACAGAGACTCACACAGGGCATCGTGTTCCTTCCTACTGACCAAAACCAACGGGCTTCAAACAGCCCCAGGGCACTCAAAGGCACCTTGAACTCCTGCCTGCCAAGGCTGCAGACACAGAAAGGCACAGAAGGGCTTTCTGGGCTCCTTCCCAACGTGCCCAGCTCAGCAGGGCACAGGGAGGAACTCCGCTGTCTCCCCCACACCAGGTCCTACCTGCCCGCCTGGAGAACGCCCGAGATGCTGAAGAGGCCGAAGTCGGTGATCACCACCTTCCCATTGTCGTAGAAAACATTCTTGGACTTGAGGTCCTTGTGGAGGATCCCCTTGGCATGCAGGTAACCCATTCCCTAGGAGGGAAAAGAGAGAGAGAAAAACCCCCCAAAATTAAAAAAGCGGCACAGACCCAGAGGATAACACCCGAGCGGGGGGACCCCCGAGGGAGAGCCGGGGCTGCCACGGCACATCCAAGCCACACATCCCAAAAAACACCCCTGCAGGAAGGGCAGGTGTCTGGAGGGATCCCTGGCAGGGGACGGGCACCGTGCGGTGCTGGCGGGGACGGGCGTGGGCGTCTCGGCTGCGACTCATCTTCCTGATTAATTGATTACGCGAGAGAAATTAGCGGCGAGCCACACACCAGCAGCCACTTCCCTGAAAATCCTCCGCTGGGAAATGGATGATGATGATGATGTTTTCGCCCCCGTTCTCTTTCGGAGAGGAGGGAGAGGAGGGTAATAAGTCAACGCGAGGCCCCGGCTGAGCCGTCGGCGCTTCCGAAGCGCACGCCGGCCCCATCGGCCCGGAAACGAGCTCCTCGCAGGAGCCCTCGCCTTAATTCCCCTTCCCCCAGGAAAAAAAACGAGTCGGCGGTTAATTAAAATTATTGCTAATGATGCAAAAAAAAAAAAAAAAAAGGCCACGGGTGGGAAAATCCGAGCGCTCCTCGTTCGGCGCCGGCAAATCAAGGCGACCGCCGGCAGCTCCGCGCGGCGGATGTTCGGCTCCGCGGGGTAACCGGCGCTGGGAACGGGGAGGGGGATAAAAGACACTCATCCCGGCTCCCTCGGGGATTTTGTTGCTGGCCCACTTTTCGTTCTCCCGAGCAGACTAAGGGAAAAACTTGATGTAGAGGAGGCTGCGGGAGGATCGATGCCCAACAGGCCGGCAAGCTGTTGCTTAAGAGCGAGTTATGGGTTGTCTGTCACTGGCAAGGGGGATTTATTAGCTGGATTTCCACGGGGATCCATCCATCCTAGGCCTGATCTTTTCATCTATCACCATTAACCGCGCAGGGTGGGGAGGAAGAGCACATTTTTTCAGCTGGTGGCCGATGCGGGGCTGGAGGACACGATCCAAATTCCACCACCTGGAAAAACTGGGAAGGCAAACTGAAAACACCCCGACCTGTCAAGTTACAGGGGTTTCTCTGCACCCCGTAGCAGTCAAATCCTGAAGAGCCTCTGCCAAGGGAGGCTGTGGCTGGCTCTGAGCTGCTCCAGCTGCAGCTGGATGCCAGGACCATTCCAGGCACCGGGATTAATTAGGGGTCCCCAGTTCCCAGCATATGAAATAATGATGAGATTTAAAAAACTGCTTTCAAATGTCACCGTCACCTTCACAAAGTGCCAGGGTTGAGCGAGGGACAGCATTCCAGCGTTTCTCCTGCAAGGAGCATCCGTGGGACAGGGTGGATCCCAGTTCCATGGGGATGCTCCCGTGGGCTGAGGGTGCTGGGAGCACGGAGCAGCAGCAGGGACTTTGCTCCCATGCTCACCCAGCCAGGTGGGAACTCATCTCCACGTGGCCACCAGACACAGCCCAGGCCTTGAGCCAAACCCAAATCCCTCACCTCGCTCCACGGAGATCCCACTGCAGATTCCAGCCCTGCCACCCTCACCCCTGGGATGATCCGGGAGAAAACGCTCCGGGCCCAGGAACGCCTTCCTTTGCTCGGCTGCCAGGCGTGTGTGAAAAGGCAGCTCCCTCTGCCGGCATCCATCCCCGGATAAATCCACTCTCGCCTCTGGAGAATCCCGGGATAAGGAGAGCCCCTGCACGCACTAATCCAATCAGCTTAACAGCTCTTCCATCACATACCAGGATTCAAAGGATAAAGTCAAACAACTGCTGTGATGGGGTAGCAGAGCCGAAGCCTCCAGCTCCTCTGGGCAATGCAGGCCCAAGCCCACCCAAACCGAGGTGTTGGGCTTTTCCTTTGCTTCTCCACACCAAGGCCACCAAAACATCCTTAACATCTGCTGGAAGTCGGTGTGGAGAGGTGGGAAGGCTGGGAACCTTCAACAGTGGTTGGGTCACAGCACAGTGCCAGGGCTGTCACGGACCTCCCCTGCCTTAAATTCCCTCAGTCTTTGCACGGAGAGAAAGGATTGAACGCGTGACCACCCACTCAGAGGGTTGATCTGTGTCTCCAAAACAAGCAGTCATTCTCCAGTGACAGCCTCAGAAATCCTCTCAGAATTATTTCTGCAACAAAACGACTGTTACTGTGCTGGTCCTAAATTCCCTCTGCCTGAAATTCCCTCTGGAGCACAGGGAGAGCACGGCCTCAGCACCCAGCTGAGCCTTTGGACCTCTGCTAATTCCTCCAGGGACCTGGACTGGACACAAAGTCCCTGTGCCCTGCAGATTGAAACAGGATCACCCAATCCCGTCCTTCCAAGGAGAAGGAATGCAGGGATACAGGAATGCTGTCGGGGGTACAGCCAGCTCCACATCTGATTTGCTTCATGGTGATGATGGTGCTGATGTTCTCCATGGTGGTGCTTCCATCTCACCGACCTGGTGAGGATCCCCCATTGCTGGTGGTGCCTCTCAGCACCACAAAGAGTTTGAGGTTCATCCTCATCCTCAAAAAACCCACACCAAGCAATGAACCTGCCCAGAGAAAGGGGCTGAATTGAGCCAGGATCTCCCTCTGGGAAAGCCCAGGAGGTGAGAGCCCTGAGCACGAGTCAGGGGGGAAAAATATGAGGCCTCAGGTGTTTCCTCAGAGGGAAAAATCCAGATCTCAAAAGAGGAAAATATGGATCAGAAGTAGAAATGGAGAGAGGCTCTTGGTGCCTCAGACACCCCCAGTTCAGGCTGTGGCTCCAAGACACCCCTTGTTTGAGGTTGCCAAGCTGTCCCTAACACACACCAGCTGCAGGAGGCAACGCTCTCATCCTCGTCCTCAAAAAACCCACACCAAGCAATGAACCCGCCCAGAGAAAGGGGCTGAACAGAGCCAGAATCTCCCTCTGGGAACACCCAGGAGGTGAGAGCCCTGAGCACGAGTCAGGGGGGGGAAATATGAGGCCAAACTATGTGATGCCTCAGTGGGAAAAATCCAGATCTCAAAAGAGGAAAATATGGACCAGAAGTAGAAATGAAAAGGAAAGAGGCTCTTGGTGCCTCGGACACCCCCAGCTCAGGCCGTGGCTCTGAGACACCCCTTGCAATGCTGGCTTAGCAAAGAGGTTCAGGCTGGGCTCCCCTGCCAGAGACTTCAGGAGAATTTGAGGAATTGAAATTAAAAAGCTTAGAAACAATCTGCTCTTGGCTGAATCTGGGTGTAAATAAAATGCAAAATAGGCAATCAGAGCCAGCCTAAGCACCGTCCAGGGGATGGCACCATGCAGGATCTACTGCAGGATCTGCACACTCTGGTTTATAACACAGATTTGAATATTTAAGGGGGGTGAAGAGCTGCCAGAAAACCTTATTTTTATTTCCCCCCCCCAATAGAAATATGTTAAATGTGAGCTCAGCCCCAGCTGATCTGGGCTCTGGGGTGGAGGTGTTGGCTGACCTTGAGCGGGGCACAGGGTGGGACATGTGCCAAATACTTTTGGTATCGTTTGGTGATAAACAGGCTTGGAATCAGAGCACAACCCAACTCTGGCAGACAGCTCAACACCTCTGGGGCACAGGGGCCGTGGCAGACACCTTCTGGGGAGCTGTGATGGCTCAGGACCCAAATTCCCAGCCACTCCACCCTGCCACGTGAGGATCCTTCCCGGTGTCACGCCTGAAGTGTCAAAGATGCTCTTTGAGTCATCTCTGGGAGAGGAGAAGCTTTTTCAGGTCTCAGAACTGTACGTGTGCTCTGCCTCGTGGCACCACAGGGTCCTGCCACCGGCACCACGGCGCTGGCTCCGCCGGGAGCCCGGGCTCTGGGAATGCTTTTGCCGTGGAGACATGGAAACCTCGGACCAACAGCAGGTTATTAACAGCAGGAATTATTAACAGGTGGCCAGGAAAGCGGCTGCCCCATCCCTGGGAGTGTCCAAGGCCAGACTGGATGGCGCTTGGAGCAACCCGGGCTAGTGGAAGGTGTCTCCCTGCCCATGGCAGGGGGTGGAATGAGATGAGATTTAAAGTCCCTTCCCACCCAAACAATTCTGGAATTCCGTGGTTATTACTTTCTTTTACAAGAGGACAGGAATATCCAACCAGCAACTCATTCCCAGAGCAAAGCTGGGCTCCAAGGCCTGTGCTTCCAAGAGGGAAGAGGAGCAGCGACCAGGATGAGCCCCAGTCACGGGGACCCCATGGAGGCCTTGGTGCCACACAAAGCACGAGAGGGAAGTTGAGGAGACCTGGATTTTAGAGCCAAGCAGGGCCATCCTGCCCAGAACCCTTGGCTGCTTCTCTCCCACTGCCCAGGGTGATCCCACCGGGATCTGGGCTGGATGCAGACCCCCCCCAGTGCCAGGCTGCCCCCACCACACGGTACCTTCACGATCTCTTGTGCTATCTGCCTCGTCTTGTTGACGTCCAGGACGATTTTGGCGTCTCTCACCACCGAGTAGAGAGTCCGTCCTTTGCACAGGCTGGAAGAACAGCGAGAGGGAGAGAGAAAAAACACAGTTAATGGCAAGAAACGTCCCCAAATGACAACAGACAGCGGCTGGGAATTATAAACAATCACAAGAGCTTTGGCCACATCTCGAGGCAGGTGGAATCCAGTGTGGAAATTGGGGGGTCTCCCCAGTTTGGTGCTGGAGCTGAGCACCATCAGGGGTATCCTGGGCTGGTTCCTGGCTCTTTCTTCCCCGTGTCCCAGCCATGAGCAAACCACCTGGGCCTCTCGCTCCAGAGTTTTTTGTGCAAAACTGGCCACGGCTCCCCCGCCTCTTCCCCCCCAGAGGATACAATGCTCACAGATGTAACATGAGTCAAAAGAGGGAAGACAGGGAGGGGGGAAGAAAAAAAGAAAAAAAAAGAACAGCCCAACCCGATGCACTGTACAATGTCCTCCAATTTTCCTTCTCGTACCAATTACAGTAAAATCTATTTACAGAGCCTTAATTACCAAAGGCAGCTGGATGGGGGGGGAGGGGGGGATATAAACCAATTAAAAATATATTGACATTTGAATATCATAATGGAGTCCGTGGGTGGATGCTGCCTCGACTCCCGCCCACAAAAAAAGGGCTTTTTTGCTTTTCTGTATCCACCCACGCTCATTACGGGCAACTTTGGAAGGAAGAGACTGGATACCTGTGCCTGGGAAATCAAGTGCCCGACACACATCTCGTTACAGAGCCTTCAGCGCCCGCAGCTGTTAATTTGCTTCTGTTCTGGTTACCAAATTAAAAGTTACAGGGTTTCATTCCTCTGCTCTCCCCCAGCTTTGCCCTCGCCCAGTTCCTGCAGCCCCGGGAATGCCAAGCACTGGGCTGGATTTGTCCCCTGGAAAATAACGGGGTTTGCCCTTTTTGGATGAAAATAATCATGGAATAGAGTCATGGAATGGCTGGGTTGGGAGGGACCTTTAAGGCTGTATAGTTCCAGCTCTCTGCCAGGGGCAGGGACACCAGGCCAGGTTGGACGGGGCTTGGAGCAACCTGGGACAGTGAAAGGTGTCCCTGCCCATGGCAGGGGGTGGAATGAGATGAGCTTTAAGGTCCCTTCCAACCCAAACCATTCCATGAGCCTACAAAACCCAGAAGAAACCCAAACTTCAGAAGATTATGAGCACAAAGGTCCCTCCTGCTCCTGAGCCAAAAGCTCCACATCCCTCCATGGGCAGAGAGCACAATTTTCAGGTCAAGCAGCAAAGCAGGAACAGGACCATATCTCATGGGTTTTGGAAAGACAACAGCGTCCTCCAAAGTATTTCATCACTGGCTGTGTTGGAAATAGCCTTGCTGGACACAAGTAGTGGGGATTTTAGGGCAGCAGCTGCTTCCTCAGGGATGGTTTTCCCTGTTCAGGTGTCTCAGCACGTCCCTGAGCACCCCAGCTGGATGCAGACCTGAGGCAACCGCAATTCCAAACACGATCTCCCCCTAAACCAGTCGCTCCCTATCTTCTGCAATAGCTGGGCTGCACTCAAATGTGAATTTGCTGAAGATTAGGATCCAAGCACTCAAACTCCTGCTTGGAAATCAGTGATAAAACCCTTCGGGTTTCTGCAACCGGAATTAGAGGGTGCAAAATAACGACAGGCACAAACTCTCCTTCCGCCACAGTGTATTTTCCTGCACGTAAACCCGTGAAGTTTTAAGCTCTGCTACACAACAGCCACCTCCATGATCTGCCTGCACCCAGAGGAGTTCCCCCAGCCCTCCCCATTCCCCGGCAAACGCTTGTTTTCCCCCAGAGGAAACCATTGCAGCGAGTTGCTCGTGGTCTGAATTGGTCCCAAATTGACATCTGTAAATGCAGTGAGTGGATTAGTGCTGGAACCGGGCTCGATTTCAGCCCTAAAGCGAGTTAAGATCAGCTGTTTTCCTGGCAAAGGGTTGTTTAGAGGAAAATCCTCAAATTTCTGCCTATCTGAGCTGCTGAGATAACCCCGAGAGCGGAGCCTGCAGCCCTTGACTGATGAGATTCCCATCTCTCCACTTCATTTATGGAGGGATGGCATTAAAGGAGGCAGCGGATGGAGCCGGCACAAGCGCCGGCACAGGGAGAGCGGCCACCGCTCAGCCCCGGGGTGGTGGCACCACCACATGGGACGTGTCACCACCGCTCCTCAGACCCCGGGAGAGCCTCCAAGGCAACCCAGGTGCTCCTCTCCTCCCCTCAATGAATAACCGCTCCGAATTAATTCAACCGGCGACCGCCGCGCCGGCACATTGGTGTTTTCTTGCCGGATAAGGAGCTGCCAACGCAGAGATAAAGCCCGGTTGATACCTATTATGCAGCACCTGAGCCCATTCAGCCACCACCTGCAGAACCTTTTCATGGCAGAGCCAAACAATTTCGCTTCTCCTCGTTCCTCGCCTGCCGTTCAATCGCTCCCCATTCGGGCGGCAGCGGCGGGAACAAAGCGCGGGGCACGCGAATCCTCTCCCGCCTTCCCGCCCGGAGAGCTCCGCGCTCCACGGGGGCATTGAGGCACCATCCGGAGGCTGAGGATCACAGGGCCACGAACAAAGGCAGGAGATTTGCATCTCGAGGCGGGTGCCGGTTCATTCACCGCTGAAGAGCGCGCTCAGAAAGGAACAACTTGTGTTCTCCTCCCAAACTTCTCCGTCCCACCTGTCGGCGGAGCAGGCAGGTTGGTGGCACATCAAACCCCATCCAGAGCCGAGGGGCAGCAGGGACAGCCCATCCAGCTGGCTCAGGGAGATGCAAAGGTCCTTCTCCACCCCGGCCCATGGCGCGGGCACGGCTCTCAGCCTTCCCTGGTGCCAGGACAGTCCCGGCCCCATCCCGCTGCAGATGCAACTCTCGACTCGAAATGAGTTTCTGAAGTGTTCAGCCAAGCAAGCCAAATCCCAAATTGCTTTATAAACACTCTGCATTTACCAACGTGGGCTGAAGGCATCAGCAACGGGAGCAAAGCCAAGGTGACTCGCAGAGGAACGATTTGGGAGGGATGAGTGAGGAAGAGCTGGAGCGCTGCCTCTTGGTGTTCTTGCTGTTCGACGTGAAAACTGCCTCGGCCGTCTGCCATCCCCTGGGGGGCTTTACCCCTGCTCTGCAATAGTGGTGGTCATCACCTCTGCACTGATGGCAATTGCCCCTACATTGATGGCTACCACCTCTGCACTGATGGCCACCATCTCTACACTGATGGCCATCACCTCTACACTGGTGGCCACCATCTCTACACTGATGGCCACCATCTCTACATTGATGGCCATCATCTCTACACTGATGGCCACCATCTCTACACTGATGCCTGTCACCTCTACACTGGTGGCCATCACCTCTTCACTGGTGGCCATCACCTCTACATTGCTGGTCATTGCCTCTACCCTGATGGCCACCACCTTTACACTGATGGTCATGGACTCTACATTGATGGCCACCACCTCTATACTAATGGCCACCACCTCTGCATTGATGGCCATCACCTCTCCACTGGTGGCCATCACCTCTACATTGCTGGTCATCGCCTCTACCCTGATGGCCACCACCATTACACTGGTGGCCAGCACCTCTACGTTGATGGCCACCATCTCTACATTGATGTCATTGCCTCTACAGTGGTGGCCACCACCTTTACACTGATGGCCATGGACTCTACACTGATGGCCACCACCTCTATACTAATAGCCACCACCTCTGCATTGATGGTCATTGCCTCTCCACTGGTGGCCACCACCTCTACACTGATGGCCACCATCTCTACACTGGTGGCCAAAACATCTACATTGGTGGCCATCACCTCTCCACTGATGCCCACCACCTCTCCACTGATGCCCACCACCTCTCCACTGATGCCCACCATCTCTACACTGATGGCCACCATCTCTACACTGGTAACCATCCTCTCAACACTGATGGCCACCACCTCTACATCGATGGCCAGCATTTCCCCAGGGTTGGAGCCTCAGCCTGGCCTGGAGGAGGGATCCCTTCCAGCTCGCTGCCGTTACTCCCCGGCGCTCTGTGCTTTCCTCCCCCTGCCCAACCATCCCCACAAACGCCCGTTAAATCCACCGGGCTCGTTGGAACACCCCGAAGTGACAAATGCCAGAGCCCAGGAAGCTCATTCCTTGCCCGCCTATGGATTTATGGGGAGCCAGCTCCGATTCCATGGTGACAGTCGGCACTGAACACCCAGGGGAGACAGGAGAGAGAGGGGGAATTAATAAGAAGTGCTTTAATATAAAAATACCTCTGCTGGCAGGTTACGTCTGTGCTGGAGGAAAGACAGAGCCGAGGAGGGGCTGCTCGGATGCTCCCACACTCGCCACCAGTTTACTCATTTTTAGTATTTCACAGAAAAAAAGGGAACCTTTGGGGAATATTAAGAAAGATAGAGCAACAGGAACCACTGAGCTGGGACTTATTTAATTTCATTGGAGCAGGACTAGCCGTGGCAGAGAGGGAAAAAAAGCAGTGCTGCACACGTCTGCCCCTTCCTGACTTATTTGGGAAGTTTTCAAGAAGCTCTTTCCATACATTAGCTTGTTTTTCTCTTTCGGAGGCGTCTGGCAGTTGTGCTTTTGCATCTCGGCAGCTCCCGGCGCGTTTCACGAAACGGGAAATCAAACGAGGCTGGAAGAGCAGTAAAAAAAGGGAGAGCTTTGGGGGAATTTTTATCCCCTAGGCTTTGTTTTCCTCTAAGTTGACAGGGAATCTCAGCCCCTGGAGGCACGTCCTCCCTGCAGTGGCACCATCCACCTCCAGCTCCCCAAACCCTCTGCATCCAAACACCGCCCCAGGGACACTGGGATCACCCCAGGGACACCGGGATCACCCCAGCGGGAGCTGCAATGAGTTCATTGGGTCTCAGTCTAAGGACAAAGATGTCTCCAGGTTCCCCTGTCCCCTGAGGGATGCTGGGATTCACCACTAAAACCTCCAGGTGAAGTGAAGCAGGTCTCCTCTGAGCCACACATATCCAGCATCCCGGGGTTTAGCATGG